TCAACGTTATTTGCGTTGAAGGTGTCATCACCACGACCATTCTTGTGAGACTCTTTTTTATCACTCTCAGAAATGGTGCCATTATTAGATTTATTATGCACGATCTCAGTATTGTTAGAAGAGGAGTCGTTAGAATCCATTGTTGTGTATAACTGAATATTCAACAAGGAGAAAAATTTGACCAAGAAATTAAAAACCTAGATGCTAAAATTGCTTCTTTACAAGGTGAACAAAAAAAACAAGCCGAAGAACAAAAAAGAGTTATATAATGGCAGTTGATGATATCTTTTGAGAATTACATGCGATGCAATTTTGATTAATAGATCTGCAAAAAAAATCATACATTATCTCAAGCCCAGGTACATTAAATTTCTTGTCTAATAAATAATTTAAGTAAAACTTGATTTAACTAAATACAGAACTTGTAGGCCAAATCAAACAATTCCCAAAGATTATGATTATAACCGTTGAAGCGAACACATTGGAAATATCTTCGTCATTAACGCGACGGCTCAAAGTAACTCTCATTGAAGTCGACAATCATCATTTTGAAAGGAACAAACCAAGTCGAACTGAAAGAGTCTTAAATGAAGGGGATACAATTGATGTGGGATACTCGGAGATTCAGTTTCGGTAATAATAAAAAATGAGTTCGTTTTGAATGCGTTCTATATACGTATTTGAATAGGATGTATCCGCTTAGTTTCTGATCATAATATTTGTATGTAGACTAGCATATGATCCCATAATAGTATATTACGAGAACTTGCCGAGTGAAAAAGAGATTGAAGTTTTGGAGGCATGCGAGAAAACGGGTATAAAAGCTCTAGTAGGCAACCCATGGAAAATGAAAAAATGCACCCATCTCATTAGCGCAGTAGCCTCATGCACCGAAACAATAATGATCGCACTAATCAAAGGCATTCCTATAATTTACTCGACATGGTTATCAGAACTTGCATCCGAGGCGTATATGAAAAGAATGCAGCATTCTTACACGCTTCCAGACTACAGACTACACCTACCACCAATATCATTCTCAATACCCACCTCACCATCTTCATCTTTCCACAATAACGATAACAGAAGATAACCGTGTACTTTCAGTCAACGATAAACATCGCACACTATTCAAAGATACGGTATTTGTCTCACTTGACAAAAGTGACCCCTCTCTCTCTCCTTAAACACAAAACTAATTCAAGAAGGCGGTGGCACCGTTATCAAAGTGGATCTCAATCCGATCATCAGCGAGGACGATTTCCAGGTGTTTGTGACAATGGAGTTGCTGGCGCCGCTTCAGTATACATTGAAAAACGAAAAACAGAAATTTAAGATTTTGATGCCAATGAACAATAGATTGTATAGTTTGACTGAGAATTACGCGAGATCGAATGCCTGTGGAAGGTTAATAAATGGAATGACTGAGATTCCTATGGCTGTGCTTTTGGCAAGTGTCGAATTTTATTGTTCTCCGTGGCAGGATTTGAATAATTATCAAGTGGTCATATCTTCTTCAGATGATAATAAATTTTATGCTCATCCCCCCCTGCAACCTCCGGTGGATGCTTTACGAAGTAAACTAGTCCAAATTCTCATTGAATTATTATTATTATTTAAGTTCTTTGGACATATACAACGCACATGAGTATATGGAATAAAAGTCAAAATTAAAATATGCTGATATTGATATACCGACTAATAGAACGAGTTATTTTATTCAAAAACTCGAATCACTAATTCTTTGGCATAATTCTCGCAAAAATATTTATTACTAAAAGCATACACACTGTTTTGTGAGCCCCGGACCTTTGACGGGGATCGCAGGCATAGGGGCGCCGATTCACTTGATATAGCAGGACAGCTCCCATCCAAACAATCAAAGCTGTTATCATCTCATCGAATAGTAGTGAATAAACAGTCCGAGAAACGGATTTGCTACTATAAGTCTAATTTATTCTATGAATTAAATGAAATAGAAAATCAATTATTAAATGTATCTGAGTTATGCAATTTTTAATCTTTCTAATATTACTTTTCTTGTTTAAAAAAGATTGGTCTACGGAAAAATTGAGTGTTGAATGATATTATAGTTGTTCCAAGGGATTAAGTGTTCGATCATGTGAGTAGTATGAGTAGTTGGATCTAAAAGAGGCTGATCTTTTATGGAGTTTCACTAAAGCCGGATAGTATCATGTGATTTTGAATTCAATCCGGATCCAAATCATGTGAAAAATACACATGATAAGTAATGTGTAAAAAATACACGTGATAAGTGATGATTGAGTGAATAATTTTGATCAATAAATGATCATAATATTGATCAATTAATAATTAAGAATAAAACTTATAATGATTAGAATAAAGTATATTTATTTTTTTGCAAAAAATAATAATAAATATAATTATAAAATTAATTAACTTATAAAATAAAAAATATTATATTATAATTTTAAAAATTAGATCCAATAACTTATCTAAATATATAACAAATACTTTAATAATATTATTATTATCTTTATTCTCAATTTCTTAATATTATTATTATTTTAAGTTTATATATATGTAAATATTTTAAAATAATAAGAGTGATTATATTCATAATAATTATTTACTTTTATAACTTTAAAAAATTATATAATTAATTATAATAAGATAATATATGCAAGTTTTATTTTTAATAAAATACTTTCTTAATAGAGCAAGAAGATAAGATAAGATATATGATAAAATATATATGTAACAAAATTAGATTAATAATTAGTAATTATATAATATTTAATTTTTATTTTGCAGATCGTTGCTGCGCCACATACTGCACTACACGTGACTTACTGCACCACAATCACCCGATCTTGCCAAGAAAAGTCACACAGTATATTTGAGTTATTTTAGCTATAAATAGTTTCTTAGTAGAATTTCTCTTTTCTCTTGTTCTACTAATTTAGCTAG